AGTCACCTTGCCTATGTCCTGGGGTAGTCACCTTGCCTATGTCACGGGGTAGTCACCTTGCCTATGTCACGGGTAGTCACCTTGCCTATGTCATGGGGTAGTCACCTTGCCTATGTCACGGGGTAGTCACCTTGCCTATGTCACGGGGTAGTCACCTTGCCAATGTCATGGGTAGTCACCTTGCCTATGTCATGGGGTAGTCACCTTGCCTATGTCATGGGGTAGTCACCTTGCCTATGTCACGGGGTATTCCCTTGCCTATTCACGGGGTAGTCACCTTGCCTATGTCATGGGGTAGTCACCTTGCCTATGTCACGGGGTAGTCACCTTGCCTATGTCACAAGGTAGTCACCTTGCCTATGTCACGGGTTGGTTCCCTTTCCTGTCACTGTGTAGTTCCCTTTCCTATGTCACGGGGTGGTTCCCTTTATAATGACATTGTGTAGTTCCTTTGCCTATGTCATGGTTTAGTTCCCTTGCCTATTTCACGGGGCAGTTCCCTTGCCTATGTCATGGTGTAGTTGCCTTGCCTATGTCATGGTGTAGTTCCCTTGCCTATGTCACAGGGTGGCTCCCTTTCCTATGTCATGGGGCAGTTGCCTTGCCTATGTCACGGTGTAGTTCCCTTGCCTATGTCACGGGGTATTCCCTTGCCTATGTCACAGGGTGGTTCCCTTGCCTATGTCACGGGGCAGTCAGTCACCTTGCCTAGGTCATGGGGCAGTCAGTCACCTTGCCTATGTCACTGGGTAGTCAGTCACCTTGCCTATGTCACTGGGTAGTCAGTCGCCTTGCCTATGTCATGGGGTATTCAGTCCCCTTGCCTATGTCACTGGGTAGTCAGTCCGCTTGCCTATGTCACTGGGTAGTCAGTCACCTTGCCTATGTCATGGGGTATTCAGTCACCTTGCCTATGTCACTGGGTAGTCAGTCCGCTTGCCTGTCACTGGGTAGTCAGTCACCTTGCCTATGTCATGGGGTATTCAGTCCGCTTGCCTATGTCATGGGGTAGTCAGTCCGCTTGCCTGTCACTGGGTAGTCAGTCACCTTGCCTATGTCATGGGGTAGTCAGTCCGCTTGCCTATGTCATGGGGTAGTCAGTCACCTTGCCTATGTCATGGGGTAGTCAGTCCGCTTGCCTATGTCATGGGGTAGTCAGTCACCTTGCCTATGTCATGGGGTAGTCAGTCACCTTGCCTATGTCATGGGGTAGTCAGTCACCTTGCCTATGTCATGGGGTAGTCAGTCACCTTGCCTATGTCATGGGGTAGTCAGTCACCTTGCCTATGTCATGGGGTAGTCAGTCACCTTGCCTATGTCATGGGGTAGTCAGTCACCTTGCCTATGTCATGGGGTAGTCAGTCACCTTGCCTATGTCATGGGGTAGTCAGTCACCTTGCCTATGTCATGGGGTAGTCAGTCACCTTGCCTATGTCATGGGGTAGTCAGTCACCTTGCCTATGTCATGGGGTAGTCAGTCACCTTGCCTATGTCATGGGGTAGTCAGTCACCTTGCCTATGTCATGGGGTAGTCAGTCACCTTGCCTATGTCATGGGGTAGTCAGTCACCTTGCCTATGTCATGGGGTAGTCAGTCACCTTGCCTATGTCATGGGGTAGTCAGTCACCTTGCCTATGTCATGGGGTAGTCAGTCACCTTGCCTATGTCATGGGGTAGTCAGTCACCTTGCCTATGTCATGGGGTAGTCAGTCACCTTGCCTATGTCATGGGGTAGTCAGTCACCTTGCCTATGTCATGGGGTAGTCAGTCACCTTGCCTATGTCATGGGGTAGTCAGTCACCTTGCCTATGTCATGGGGTAGTCAGTCACCTTGCCTATGTCATGGGGTAGTCAGTCACCTTGCCTATGTCATGGGGTAGTCAGTCACCTTGCCTATGTCATGGGGTAGTCAGTCACCTTGCCTATGTCATGGGGTAGTCAGTCACCTTGCCTATGTCATGGGGTAGTCAGTCACCTTGCCTATGTCATGGGGTAGTCAGTCACCTTGCCTATGTCATGGGGTAGTCAGTCACCTTGCCTATGTCATGGGGTAGTCAGTCACCTTGCCTATGTCATGGGGTAGTCAGTCACCTTGCCTATGTCATGGGGTAGTCAGTCACCTTGCCTATGTCATGGGGTAGTCAGTCACCTTGCCTATGTCATGGGGTAGTCAGTCACCTTGCCTATGTCATGGGGTAGTCAGTCACCTTGCCTATGTCATGGGGTAGTCAGTCACCTTGCCTATGTCATGGGGTAGTCAGTCACCTTGCCTATGTCACGGGGTAGTCAGTCACCTTGCCTATGTCACGGGGTAGTCAGTCACCTTGCCTATGTCATGGGGTAGTCAGTCACCTTGCCTATGTCATGGGGTAGTCAGTCACCTTGCCTATGTCATGGGGTAGTCAGTCACCTTGCCTATGTCATGGGGTAGTCAGTCACCTTGCCTATGTCACTGGGTAGTCAGTCACCTTGCCTATGTCACTGGGTAGTCAGTCGCCTTGCCTATGTCACTGGGTAGTCAGTCGCCTTGCCTATGTCATGGGGTATTCAGTCCCCTTGCCTATGTCATGGGGTAGTCAGTCACCTTGCCTATGTCATGGGGTAGTCAGTCACCTTGCCTATGTCATGGGGTAGTCAGTCACCTTGCCTATGTCATGGGGTAGTCAGTCACCTTGCCTATGTCATGGGGTAGTCAGTCACCTTGCCTATGTCACGGGGTAGTCAGTCACCTTGCCTATGTCACGGGGTAGTCAGTCACCTTGCCTATGTCACGGGGTAGTCAGTCACCTTGCCTATGTCATGGGGTAGTCAGTCACCTTGCCTATGTCATGGGGTAGTCAGTCACCTTGCCTATGTCATGGGGTAGTCAGTCACCTTGCCTATGTCATGGGGTAGTCAGTACTGAATACATTTAAACAAATGCCACTGAATTGACTTGTGTTTGAATAGTGCATCCCTAAAACATTGTGTGGTCCACTTTTCCCTTTGGTATTAGACTAGGAATGATGAAACTGTTGTGAGGTTGAAATGGGTATTTTAAGTTAGATCAATTGGATCAGTTCTTTGTGACATTGCTATTTTATATGATGGGTCCTTGCTGATAAGTTAATGTGTGATAAATGGAATGGCTGATAAGTTAATGGATTGGTATCTTATATGATGGTTGATTGCTGATAAGTTTATTGATGTTGATGTGTTATAATGTGATTCAGTTTTTATTTTTAATGAATGGTTGATTGTTGATCTGTTAAAAGTGTGCTTGATTGTTGATCTGTTAAAAGTGTGCTTGATTGTTGATCTGTTAAAAGTGTGCTTGATTGTTGATCTGTTAAAAGTGTGCTTGATTGTTGATCTGTTAAAAGTGTGCTTGATTGTTGATCTGTTAAAAGTGTGCTTGATTGTCCATTGTCTAAATGATTCTATTGATTGCTGCTCCATGACTTGCATGTAAAATGCAGCTGTTCTCGGTTCTTGACAGTAGAGTAGAGTTTTTTTAGTGTTTAACTCAAGGCTCAGAACACTTGGCATCTCTGTTACAAACAAACCAACTCTTATGACACAATGCATCTTGGACAAGACTAAAGGCAAAACTTATTATTTTTTTTGTTTTTTTGTGGTTCTTGTTGACCCTGAAAATAATAAAATACAAGTGTGAAAGAAGTAAGTTATTTTATTTATTTGAATGTGTCAAACATCTATTTTTGAATGGGATAAAATTGAATTGATGATATAGAACTAAAATCATTTGTAAATTATCAGATGGTAATAGATTACTATAAAAAAAAATAAAAATAATTGAAAATATAAAGTATGTAAGGTTTTTGTTGTTTTTGACCCACGTGAAACAGCTAATGAAATTCATGAGCCTCCAAAAAAAAAAGAAAAAAAAGAAAGAATAAGAAAGCTAGGTGTACAGATATCTTTATTTTCTGCTCTATTTCAGAGTAGTGAGTCTACGTGCCAAGTTTAATTTGGTAAAGGACAAGATATTTCGCTGAAGTGGAGACCAAGTGATAATAATAATAGATAGGATTCTACTTGTGAATTGATGTATTATGTAACAGAAATATTTAATCCATCTGGGCAGATTTTCCCCCCTAACTTTTTGTTTTTCTCCTAAAAAATATATTCCTGTAACTGCTCTTGAAAGTTGTTTTATGTCGTCACATGGTGTACACTCCAAGAGCATTGCTAGCACACCATAGATACATTCACCAAATTGAGTTTCCCATGGCAACCGAAGGAACACTTTCTAATCTTGTCATTTGAAGAGTCTATTAATCCCCTTTAAAAACGCAAATACTGTTTCAAGGGTTCAAAGCTCAAATATTTATACCGTGACATATGCCATTTCCATTTTGCAATCTGAAAGCCTTTAAAATACTTTCACTAATAATAAATAGAGAAAAAACCAAAACTGTTCTGTCTCATCTAAGGAATCAAGTAATCCACGCCGCCGTAGAGTAAATGTGCTGAGTGTTGAGAGAATAAAGGACATGGAAACGAGCCACTGATCAGTGGTGCCAGCGGAGCAATGGTCTTCTTCCCTAATCCTAAATTGTAAAAGATAAATGTGTGTGTCAGGATTTGAAATGACAGCGAGGTATCTCAACGTGGACTCAACTGTTATACTGCGCCCACGGTACGCACTGCAGACCCACAAAAAATATGAGCGAGTCGATCGTGCTCTTGAGCAGGAGGGTGATCACGTAAGGGTGGAACGACTCGTCCGTGAAATTGTACACAGAATCGTCCGACGTGTACAGCAGGTAGCAGGCGAGCGGCAGGTACGCCAGGACAAACAGGATCCCTGACAGGCACAGGATGAGGTCCAGCGGGTAGGCGCGGCCCGGGTTGGGGCGCCGGCTGATGCCGGGGCGCTGGATGGGCCAGCTGAACTCGCGGGTGCGCTGGACCTTGGTGTACGGGAAGCGAGGCTTGTTGGCCGTGTCCCGGTGTGGGAAGATCATCTGGAGGAACACGTCGGGGAGGACCAGGCGGGCGTCGTCGCGGAGGGCGTTGTCGGCCGGCTGAGGTGGCGGGGCCTGCTGGTTCACGGGAACACGTGGCGGGGTCAAGCGGGGGGCGTGGTTGTTCTGGTGGAGAGGCGGGGCTTGTCGTAGAACCGAGGCCGGGTTAGGACCTCGCGGAGGCGGCATGACGGGGTATGGCGCCGAGGGCTGGGTTGACCAAACAAACGAGCCGAGTGTGTCGGTGGTCGGTGGGGGCGGAGACTGGGCCCGGTGCCGCTGCTGGTGGTAGTCGTAATAGTCGCTGGTGCGTGGCCTTGAGTGGGTGCCGCGGCTGGTGGACTGGCCCGTCCTGCTGTTCCCCGTCGGCACCCGGGACTGCTCCTGCATCTCGTAGACGCCGTCTTGGGACGGCCCGGCGTTTTCGTTGTAGTCGTGGGCGTTTCCATGGCCCGCCGCCAGATGACGGTTGACAATCTCTCCGCCCATGAGATTGTTTAAATTGGGCGGGGCCACATCGTTGGGCGGGTTGTTGGCGTAGGGCTGATGAGGTGCGACGTTATCCGCGTGCATGCCGCCCACAAGCAGCAGGCTCCGCCTCTTTCTCATGCTTGTGATGATGACAGCCAGAGACACGGTGATGAGGAACACGACGCTGATGATGAAGTATCCCATGATTCGTCGGGGAAACATGTCTGTATGGGTGGGTGCAAAGAGAGGGGGAAATCGGTTATAGAAAAGAAACTATTATCAACAAAAGCAAAAAGAAAATGCACAACAAGCAGTAACTAGGGTTAATGCCACCCCCACCTCTTTCCTTTTTACTCCTCATTTCCACGAAAAAAAATCTGCAGTAGCCGAAAATTCCGCCCCTCAATAGAAAGAAAAAAGGTGACACCCGAGTATTACCGCCCCCACCCCATCCTACGCCCCTGACAACAATATGTTTGTTCATGGGATAGTAGTTATTTAAATTTTCTAAAAATTTGAATTCACGAACTCACATTTAAAAATATACTTTGATTCTCGTTCAGTCCCCTGAAATCTCGGCAGCGAGATCAACATCAGTGGCGCTACAGCCGGTGTAGGGCCCTGGCCTGCACCACCACCAACTCACATTCGAATCGATCCATAAACATCGAAGAGAAAAATTTAGATGAAAGAAGAAACGCAGAGTTATCCCTCCTTACCCGTTGAAGTAAAAAACACTGGGCACAGCGGCACACTCTGCTTCACCGCCTTGACAGACAACGAGACATCAGACAGCAGAATCGTCATGGTGTGCACCACCAGCACCAGCATCAGCGCGGCGGGCACCAGGGCGCACTCGGCCCGTTTGGACCAGTGGATGTGCACCGTGCCGAACAGGATCTGCACCGCGCGGCCGAAGCAGAGGGCCAGGGTGCTGAAAATGACGCCCCACTGTGACGTCACGGCAGCGCCGACCAGCCGGAAGCAGATGGGGCGGTCGACGATATCACTGAGGGACACCATGCTGGAAGTGTTTAACAAGCTACAAATTATTGCTTTAGAAGTAATAAAGGTTGGGTTTTTTTATTTGCTTTTTTTGGTTTGGGAGGTGGATGCCCGTTAAATGGTAAAACAACAAAAAAACATCCTGGACTCACTGACAAAATTTCAATCTAATGCGAGGGATTTTTTTTTCTTGAGCTTGAAGTTTGATTTCAAATTGTGGTCAGTTAGTGAAGACCCAGGAGTCTTTCTCAAAGTAAGATTTTTTGAAATTCTCCACAATTCAATTCAAAGGAGCGTGTTTAACACACTTCTAGATAACAAGCAGAAAGGCGATGTCATAGTTCTAACGAGCTCATTCAAATTGATACTTAAACGTGATCCATTCAAATTGATACTTAAACGTGATCCATAGTTGTTTTAGTATCTTCAAAAACTCAACTCGAAAACCATGCAACTTTTTCCGTTGCATTTTGAGTCGCAAAACTTTATCACACTTGGTCTGACAAAGTATCGGAATTAGTTGCTCATCAAATTTATACAATTACTTTTTTTCTTTTAATTCTGGTTCTACCGTTCTACCGTTAAACGTTACCTGAAGAACAGCACAACAAATGCGAAAACAAAGTGCATGGGGTGGAGCATCAACGAGAGGACGATGCGACCTTTCCATAGCAACCAGGGCTCCGAGATGACGCCAAGTATGGCCATGATGGAGGTCGCCATGGCGACAGCGCCGGGAATGAGACAGGACAGCCATTTGAGCTGCCAGTCGCTGTAATGGAAGAGGACTTTTTTATGTCTGTTAAATACTTCAGCAACTTTTTAAAAAAACAATATAAAAAAACAACAACTGAAATAGAAATTTGGTTGCTGGTGAAATGTTGCAGGCGTCCTGCAGGTACTCTGATCAAGTGGTAAATATCGTATGATAAATATCGGGAGATTCATTAAGACACTGTTGACAACCAGCTTCATATCCCTCGAGCCTGAAGCGTAATGAATGTGTCACAGGGCAGGCTGTTTATTCCCACTGACTGCACAACCCACAGACCACAAGTCAGTACAACAGTTGTTGTTGTTGGACAAGGCACCACAACTGTCAGTGGTCCACTTTGTAAGCCAACAAGTTGTATCAAACGATTCTTTACATATTTGCATGATTAATAATATTGTTTGTAAAAATTATGCGTATAAGATGACCATGAGATGTCTAGTCGGTCCAGGGATTCCTATAAATCTGTCGAGTCATGGTGCCCTTGATGCGTCCCCGTTTCCCCGAGGCGCCCTATGTATATTCTAACAAGTGCACATGGCGCCCTATGTATATTCTAACAAGTGCACATGCGAAAGAGAGCATTTATGCACCGGTATGATAATAGATCACACTTGTATTCTCAATGTTTAACTATAACATATCACGTTTTGACGAAATGCTTGCATAACTCCCCCCTGACTTAACCACCACACGATTCACGTGATCTTAACGCTAAGACCGCGCGAAACCAAACATCTATTTATAAATGGAAACAATAAATAAACTAAGTATTTTTAGCGCCTTCTAGTTACTATTATAAAGGCTTCAGCAAACAGTTGTTGCTGAGCGAGTTACTGGTTTGTTGAAAATCCTCTAGATGTCCCGTAATGTTACATTATGACATTTACAAAAATTCTTTGCGTCTTCCGGTTCCCAGAGCACCGCGGCGCATATTTCGGGAACCTCTGGTCTAATATAAAAAAAAAAGATGATGATACTTTATATTTTAATTTATATAAATATAAATCTATTAACTTATCAAATTATTTTTTTTTTCGTGTAACCGAATCTATACCTCAATGTATACTTTTGTGTACATGTCCTAACAATAATGTGAATATAAACGTACTTTAAAAAAAAATGAGTTTATACCATCTTACACCTATGAGATAATACTTGTGTGGACATTATGTACATAAAAGTTTACCATGAAATCAACCCTCGGGTACCTAGCAATGTACATCTGCCTTGATGACTTTCAAAATATACCTTTGTGTATATCTGCCTTGATGACTTTCAAAATATACCTTTGTGTACATCTGCCTTGATGACTTTCAAAATATACCTTTGTGTACATCTGCCTTGATGACTTTCAAAATATACCATTCTGTATATCTAACTTAATGTCTCTCAAACTATACCTTTGTATACCTACTGAAATTGATCAGGAGAAATTTTGATAGAGGTTCTGTTGTCCAGGTACCTGCAGAGAAGATGACGGGAGATGACACTAGGAGAAAAAAATCTATCGAAGAGGACTCGTCTTTATAATAAATGATTATTACCAAATCTATATGATTTCTACTCTAGAGAATTACTTTAGGTGTTCTGTGTTTCAGCTGCTATCATTTTAAAATGTTGTTTTGGTTAAAATATGTTAGCATTGATGTGCTGACAATGAATACGTATATTGTAATAACAAAAACATTTCCATTTATTGGATCAATAAAGAATTGTATCTTATCACACACATTATGTTATCTTATAATTAGGTCAGGTGTGTCAACCCAGTAATGGGTGAGTGTACAGGTAAGTTAAAGCAATACTTTGTGTGTATAAAGGTAAGTTAAAGCAATTCTTTGGTGTGTATACAGGTAAGTTAAAGCAATTCTTTGGTGTGTATACAGGTAAGTTAAAGCAATTCTTTGGTGTGTATACAGGTAAGTTAAAGCAATACTTTGGTGTGTATACAGGTAAGTTAAAGCAATACTTTGGTGTGTAGTCACGAATAAATCAGGAAAACACAATAAAATTAATACCGCACTATAAATATCCAACGAATAGAGATACAACATTGAACACCAACAATCAACAGCTAACAATGCTTGTCTCTTACATTTCAAGTCTTCTCAGTGCTGCTGTTTCTGGTCTTAGCTAACATGCCGAGCACATCTCTGAAGGTCGACTCTGGACATTGTCATCTTCTCTTTTCTCTTACTGTAACTGAAGCAACCATTGGAAACATTTACTGTGTAGCCGCAGTCATTCAATGTGTGAGTGCTACGTCACATATATTGTGTAGTGTGTAATGTAAAATTTGGGATTCCTATTTTTCAACCTTTCAATTGTAAAGTATTATTTAAAAATTCGTTTCATATTTTATAGTATTTTACATTTTTATAAAATGACATATATAATATACACGTGTAGTATATCGACACAACAAAATTTCTATTTTTACACTGGGTTTTAGTGGAGCTTTTCTTAGCAGTGGTTCCCAACCCTTTTGAATCGCGAGATTAGTTCCTGACCCAGCCCTAAAATAGCTGCCCTATGTCTTAGAAGTTAACGATGTTCATGAGTTTCCTGGAGTTAGAGGCGGAGCCTCCAAGAAGTGCACAGGTTTGGAACCACTGTTAAGAAGCGTGGCTTAGCCCTTATTATGATTAAATAGAGGCGCACAAACTTGAGATCCACTGGTGCTTCAACCCGGGAAACCTTGGATTGATTGGATATTATTTCCTGCCCCACCCCTAAAATGGCTGCCTTACTTGGCACGCCACCCGTACCTGAGTATCCAGTGACGTCACATAAATAAATCCCAGTTAACACTTTCTACCAGTGACACCATACACAGAAAGTTGTATCTGTAAAGTTGTATATGTAAAGTCGTATCTGTAAAGTTGTATCTGTGAAGTTGTATCTGAAAATTTGTATCTGAAATTTTTTATCTGTAAAGTTGTATTTGTAAAGTTGTATATGTAAAGTTGTATCTGTAAATTTGTATCTATAAAGTTGTATCTTTAAATTTGTATCTGAAAATTTGTATCTGTAAATTTGTATCTTTAAATTTGTATCTGTAAATTTGTATCCGAGAATTTGTATCTATAAAGTTGTATCTTTAAATTTGTATCTGAAAATTTGTATCTGTAAATTTGTATCTTTAAATTTGTATCTGTAAATTTGTA